AATAAATCCCGGTTTGGGTCCCGTTTGCCTGGAATGCTGATCCTGGGGTAGGGGTTGTTCCTCCAGGTCTTTGGGTTGTGCCCAGAACCTCTGAAGGTGCAGGTCCCTGAGGGTGACGTGGTCCTTCTGCCCCTGCCCTGAGGGTGGTTGTGTTTTCCAGGAGAAGCCGTGGTGCCCGTGGCCAACTGTGACGTGAAGGAATACAATTCCAACCCCAAGGAGCAGCTGCCCTTCAAGGAATACGTGGAATACTGGCAGGAATACATCCGGAACGGCTACCGCTCCTCCCGGGGCTGCCTCTACCTCAAGGACTGGCACCTCAGCAGGTGGCAGCTCTGCAGTGCCCTCAGTGCCCAGCTCCTGAGGCTCGGGGATTTGGGATTCTCTTGGGATCGTTCCCGGGGGAACTGGTTGTGGCCTTCCAGGAGCTGGAGGAGCTACAGGAAAGATGGAGAGAGACTCCAGACAACGGCCTGGAGGGACAGGACAAGGGGGAATGGCTTCCCACTGCCAGAGGGCAGGGATAGATGGGATAGTGGGAAGGAATTCTTGGCTAGGGGAGCTGGGGGGGGGGTTCACCTGGAGAAGAGATGGATCCAGGGAGAGCTGAGAGCCCCTTGCAGGGCCTGAAGGGGCTCCAGGAGAGCTGGAGAGGGACTGGGGACAAGGGATGGAGGGACAGGACACAGGGAATGGCTTAAAGCTGAAAGAGGATAAATTTAGATGGGATATTGGGAAAAAATTCCTGGCTGGGAGGGTGGGGAAGCCCTGGAATGGATTTGCCAGAAAAGCTGTGGCTGCCCCTGGATCCCTGGAAGTGTCCAAGGCCAGGTTGGAGCAACCTGGGCCAGTGGAAGGTGTCCCTGCCCATGGCAGGGGGTGGGAGTGAGATGATCTTTAAGTTCCCTTCCAACCCAAACCCTTGTAGAATTCCATGACTCCATGAACGTGGTCCCCCATGGAGCCAGGGCTGGGGATCCAGTGCCTCAAGGGGCTCCAGGAGAGCTGGAGAGGGACTTGGTAAAAGGGATGGAGTGACAGGATGTAGAGAATGGCTTCCCACTGCCAGAGGGCAGGGATGGATGGGATATGGGGAAGGAATTCCTGGCTGTGAGGGTGGGGAGATCCTGGAATGGATTTCCCAGGGAAGCTGTGGCTGCCCCTGGATCCCTGGAAATGTCCAAGGCCAGGTTGGAGCAACCTGGGCTGGTGGAAGGTGTCCCTGCCCATGGCAGGGGGTGGGAGTGAGATGATCTTTAAGTTCCCTTCCAACCCAAACCCTTGTGGAATTCCATGACTCCATGAATGTGGTCCCACATGGAGCCAGGGCTGGGGATGGTCATCCAGTGCCTAAAGGGGCTCCAGGAGAGCTGGAGAGGGACTTGGTACAAGGGATGGAGTGACAGGATGTAGAGAATGGCTTCCCACTGCCAGAGGACAGGGATAGATGGGATATGGGGAAGGAATTCTGGGCTGTGAGGGTGGGGAGGTCCTGGAATGGATTTCCCAGGGAAGCTGTGGCTGCCCCTGGATCCCTGGAAGTGTCCAAGGCCAGGTTGGAGCAACCTGGGATGGTGGGAGGTGTCCCTGCCCATGGCAGGGGAGTAGAACAAGATGATCTTAAACTCCCTTCCAACTCAGCCCATTCCATGATTCTTAATCCAGGAGGATCAGTCTTTGCATCTGGATTTTGGACCTAAGGGAGAAGTAGCAATGCCACATATTCCTGAGATCCCTTTCCAACCCTTTCCCTTTCCCAGGGCTTTCCCAGAGCAGGATGTTTACACGACTCCCGTGTACTTCTCCTCCGACTGGCTCAACGAATACTGGGATGCTGTGGCTGTGGATGATTATAGGTTTGTCTACATGGGACCCAAGGGCTCATGGTAAGAAAATGGCCTCTCTGTCATCCTTAGACACCCATTTTGAAGATTAATATTCCAGGGAATTATCACGTTATCCTTCGGGATATCACCACGCTGCAGAGTCCAGTGTTCTGCCTGGATCCATCCAGCCTCGTCTCCCAGGCAGCTCGTCTCTTGTTTGTGAGCTGAACTCCTGCATCAGCTGCAGGAAAAGCCTTGAATTGTGCACCCCAAAACCAGGTTATTTAAGGATTTGGAGCAGGAATTCCCTTGGGATCATCAGCCACTTGTGATTTGCAGGGTCAGCAGAAGCCTCGTGGAGGCACCGATGACTCAGATGTTCCGCAGGTGAAAATTCCAGCCTGGCCTGGGTTATAAAGTGGCATTTGCAGTTCCCATCCCAGAATATCCCACAGAATATCCCACAAATGGAGGGATTGGAGGGACAAACACCGGATTTGATAGGAAACACTTGACCCTATGGAGATACAGATAAAATTGTAGATAGAGAAAACGACATAAACCAGCCAAAATTCCAGGAAGAAAAGGGCTCAGTGTCCCAGATTCTTGGTGTTTTTAGGATTTAAATGAAAGTGTTTCAGCTTTGCCTTTCCTCCAACCTCTGTTTTTCCCTCAGGACTCAGATGTTCTGCAGGTGAAAATTCCAGCCTGGTCTCGGTTATAAAGTGGCATTTGCAGTTCCCATCCCAGAATATCCCACAGAATATCCCACAAATGGAGGGACTGGAGAGACAAACACTGGATTTGACAGGAAACACTCGACACTATGGAGATACAGATAAAACTGTAGACAGAGAAAACGACATAAACCTGCCAAAATTCCAGGAAGAAAAGGGTTCAGTGTCCCAGATTCTCAGTGTTTTTAGGATTTAAATTAAAGTGTTTTGGCTCTGCCTTCCCTCCAACCTCTGTTTTTCCCTCAGGACACCGTTCCATGCCGACGTGTTCCGTTCCTACAGCTGGTCAGCAAACATCTGTGGCAGGAAGAAGTGGCTGCTGTATCCAGCAGGGCAGGAGGAATTCCTGAAGGACAGACATGGGAATCTACCCTTTGATGTGACTGCCCCCAGCCTGCAGGACAGGAGGGTGTACCCTCGCTACAGCCAAAGCCAACCCCCCGTGGAGATCGTTCAGGAAGCAGGAGAGATTGTCTTCATCCCCAGTGGATGGCACCACCAGGTTTACAACCTGGTGAGACCCCCTGGCACCATCCTGCTCATCAGGCAGCAGATTAATGGGATGAGGTTCAACCAGGCCAAGGGCCGGGTCCTGCCCTTTGGCCACAACAACCCCCGGCAGCTCCAGGCTGGGCCAGAGGGGCTGGAGAGCAGCCAGGCAGGAAGGGAGCTGGGAGTGGGGATGGACAGGAGGCTGAACAGGAGCCAGAGTGTGCCCAGGGGGACAAGAGGGCCAATGGATCCTGGCCTGGCTCAGGAACAGTGTGGCCAACAGGGCCAAGGAAGTGATTCTGCCCCTGGACTCAGTGCTGGTGAGGCCACCCCTGGAGTGCTGTGTCCAGTTCTGGGCCCTCAGCTCAGGAAGGACATTGAGGGGCTGGAGCAGGTCCAGGGAAGAGCAACAAGGCTGGGGAAGGGACTGGAGCACAATTCCCATGAGGAGAGGCTGAGGGAGCTGG